AGCAAAGTTGATGAAGAGCAATTGCAGCTACTCTCGATTATGACCGTAATTCCCAGTGGATTTTATTTCAGAATCAATATTTGTTTTGATAAGTAAACAAAGCTGCGATTAATAACAATTCATGAATTGCAGTGTTTCGCTGAAGCAGTTCAATGGTTTGGAAGAATATTCATCGCATCCTCTCTTGTAAGCAGTTTTTCGATTTTATCTCTTGAATTTTTCACCCATTTCCCAACTATTTCAACATCGTTGCTGTTCTCATGCGCAATCGCTGCTAAATTCTCTCAGAGAGCATAATCCTTCTCAGAAATAACATAGTTTTTGAATCTTCATCAACATGATCGATCTCCTTGCGTTCGTACGATCTTTCTCAAAAGATAACGATTTGATGCTCATGTCACTATGCTTGCAATGAACATGAATGAATTTTTGCCATCTTGAGATGTTTTTTTTTTGATGTTCATTAACTTTATTCAAAATTTTCATATTTATTTTGTTGTTTGGCAGTGAAAACGCTAATAGCTACATGAATTGTGATGATAGCTAGCATCATCTTCTTTATTTATAGCGACTGGAATCAAAGGACATAGTGTTGGTGTTAATAGTTGTATTAATTGTGTCAATAGCATCGTATTCATGGATCATGAAAACATCAGCGGAAAGAAGTTAGCCTAATGCAAGCTCGCTCACCTATTCAGACTAAAAACCGTGAAGTGAACTGAATACCACAACTGATTGCGACAAATTTCATCGACGCATAAACATTAATCGGGGAAATTTGCACGGTCTTTAAACAACGAAATGGGAATACAACAACTCAATAAGACTAATCCTATATGTTTGGAGAATGATGAATGCAAATCATCCTAATCAATAAGATAACGAAACTGACTCGGTGAATCAGCTGATTTCATCATTGCATATTGAGACGATAAGAGTTGTTTATGAGGGATTTGATTGAAGGGATACGACGCATATATCACATCTTCTAAGGTGTTGGGATTATTGATTTTCAGGGAATATTCCAGTTCTATTGTTGTATTGCACATATGCATCCGTCGTCTTTGTGTCAATAATCCATCGGCTATCAGCTGTCGAGTATCTTCATTTAGTAGAACGAATACTTACAATGCACACTGCTTCGTTTCATTTAAGCATTTAATTCGTACATATCTCAGTTCGTTCAACTGGCAAAAATTGGCCATTTGATTGTCTTCTGAAATTTGCCCAGTTTATCGCAACCTGTTGTTAAATAGATGTATGTGCTCGAATGTATTCGCTCAATTCGCTGTCACTTTACTCAATTCAATTTCCTGTTATTAACAGCATAAAGCTGAAGTTTTCTTTCTATTCAAAGCTTTTGCAAACTTAATGAGATTTTGCAGGAAATCGCAAAAAAAAATTCGATTGTGTGTAAATAGGATAGGAATTTGTTTGCTTAAGGAAGCGTATCGGATCGTG